GGCGCCACTGGTAGTTCATACTTCTTGACTATTTTACTTTTCCCTGAACTAAATGACCATTACTGTATTGGTGTGCTTCTGTCTACTCAAACAAGCACATCGCTACTTTTAGAATTACAAAGTTCTATCTGATAATGTTGGGCGTTTTGAGTTACTGAGACCATGAGGTCAGAAACTAAACGTTGTTCTATCAAAATGGTAAGATTTTTCAGAGACGTTATCGAGATATTCTAAGTTTTGCATTTTAAAAAAGCTTGACAGTGTTGTGAAACTCCAACTTTTTAACTTCAAATTTCTCAAAACCAGGTATTGAGCAGATAAAAGTATGGAATTCTAGGGAAACGACATATTAACAGTCGTTCTCATGTTCTCTTTGGCTTTCTTCATTTCAGGCATTGGGGCTTGTGTTCACCCTCCTGCTCTGCTGCATCGTAAGGAAGACCACCGTTATAACAGTCAACTAGGTTTATCAGTTGTCCATTTCCTTCTCTTGTGCATATCATCGTTACCTGTCACTATATCTAGCCATTGTTTTTGTTTTGATGGAATGAAATAAAATAGAAAGTGGTGTGTCTTTGTTTAAAAAACAAACCAACAAACACATAAACGCATTGTTGGGGTTCAATTTTTGAAGTGAAATTGCATGTACATGTAAGTTAATCGTAGATGCAAAAGTTGTGAGAGATTTCTGGACTTTGGTTGTGTTTAAATAGTAATAAATACATATTGTCTATCTGAATCTTGTTAATAAAATTAAACGATTTAACTTCATGAATGCGCTATATTTTATTTTAAAGAAACTGTTTGGCGTTTTAAAGCATGTATCCAAACAAGAGTAACATGAACTTTGATAGGTATTTTGAAAATTCCTTTCAGGTGTGTTAACGGTTCTTAGGTATTCCAATTTCTGTTTACTCATGTAGGGCTATATTTTTCTTCGTCGTCTTTCCGCTGTCCTCTCAGGTCATTCCATATCTATCTTTGATTTTCACCATTATACTGTTATTTAAAAAAAAAAGAGTAATCTATTACTTATCAGCCCATGACTTTGTATGTGTTCAAAGAGTTTGAGTGTCGCAGGGTCTAGTGATAAACTTAATCGAACAAGATAAATTATGGAAACTGCTTTGTTTTGAAGAATGAACGAAAGCCGACGAACGTCAAACGTATTTCCATAGATCTCCCATACTTCTCTGGATGGCATTCAATTCCTGGTTTGGGTCACATTATCTCGGGCATAGAAAAGAAAGATACAGCAGGCACATGCTTTTCAAAATAACGTTGACTGCATCGATAGCTCAGCCATCAGGCTGGATTGGGGCCCGGGTGACTTCGGTTGGAATCCCCAAAGAGGCGCTCTTGAACTTGGGTTGTTTGGCGAGTGTTCAAGGCGCTCTCCTGGCTCTGCCTTCTTGGCTAGGTCCTATTGGAGATGGACGTTAAATTGTGAGGTTCTACATATTTGATAACCTTACAGTGATAAGAGAGCCATTCAACACTTTCAACTGCCAGTTTCAGAATGACCCAGGAATTTTATGATATTAATATATGACTTTTCTTTACCCCTTCCAAGAATTATTGCTTTCTTCCCTGACGTTTCATTGATATTATTAGCTTTTATATTGATATAATAGAGGTGTTTTGCTGCCTTTAATTATAAGATAAGATAAGATACATCTTTATTGTCCAGCTCCTGGCACATTGGTTTGGTGTTCCACCACGTAAACAAAATGAGTTTGGTTTCATTCTTCGAACTCTAGGTCCAGTTTTCTCTGGGCTTACGTTAAAGAATCTGAAACATGGCCAAGTCTTTATGCTTCATCTTTTGAGTAACGTGTTCTAGAAAAACCACGCGTTTGATGCATGGCGATACTTTAGGCAGATACAGGCTAGACATAATCTCATGGAATGAGGCATCAATGTTTAAGGTTTGAAAGCAATATTTGAGAACGTAAGTGAATGTCATGTATAGTTAAGCAATTATCATAAGGTACTTTTGTGTTTGTCATCCATTTGTTTGAAATGATAATAATGGTGCTCTATTGTGAGAGTGTAATTGTTTTCTTTTGAACTAAAACCATGGTGCTTTTAGAGAGAAAATGTTTCCATAATAATAATATGTGTGATCATATCTCTTGACATGTTCTAAATGCATAACTGTTTGCTGTGATCTCTAGTCACAGTTAGGTTCAAAGTATGGCATTGTTTAGCTATTTGGACTTTTGAATTTATGAATGTATTGTAGGAGAGAGAGAGAGAGAGAGAGAGAGAGAGAGAGAGAGAGAGAGAGAGAGAGAGAGAGAGAGAGAGGAGGGAGAGAAGA